GACCTGTTCTGACTGGCACAGCGTGTGATTTGCCACGTGAACGCTTCCTGATGCTGTTTGCAAACATCTCCTGTGAAGTTCCTTGAACTTGCTATGCTAACATCTGCCGCAACACCACAGAGGGTTACTTAGGATCCCTGTTTTGTGTGCCATCAGATTTAACGTGGAACAGTTTGTAGAGTTCTTTCTTTGCTTGTTTTGGCTTTGAGACTGGGACTCATATAGCCCAGACTGGCCTTAAATGAGCCGTATAGCCAAGGATGACCTTAACTTCTTATTCTTCTGCCTCTGCTTCCCAGGGCCTGCAATTACAGGCGTGCACCACTATACCTCATTTATGTAGTAATGGGGACTAAACCTAGGACCTCATGCATACTAAGCAAGCTCTGTATCAACTGAATTATGTCTCCATATAAAAATTGTGGAATTTTTATGTGAGGTCAGTCAACTCAGTTTTTATTTAACTTTTGACAGTATTTAGTTACCTGAAATCTTAGTCTTTTTAAATTTCATTTTTATTGTAAATTAACAAATTATAGTTGATGAAGTTGTGCTTTCTGAATAATTCAGTTTTTCTTATTCACTAAGATTTGCTGAAGTTAAACATCAAACTCGAATAGCTACTTAGTTGAAGACTTCTTTTGTATCTGCGCGCGTGCATGCGTGCGTGAGTGCGTGTGTGCATGTGTGCGTGTGTGTGTTTGTGTATGTGCATGTGTGTGTGTCCCTATGTGGCAGTCACAGAACAACTTCCAGGAATTGGTTCCCTCCTTCCCACCTGAGTCCCAGGGATTGAGCTGAGGTGGTCAGGTTTGACAGCAACTTCTTTATCCATTGAGCCATCTTGTTGGCCCTAGCTAAAGACTCAAATGTTTTGTATTTATTGTTTTAGCTATAGCTTGGTAAATGTAATTATAGTGACTCAGCTTTGAGCAGTCACTCTCCCAGGCTCCAAGACAAAGCTGGACAGAGTGCATTCTGTTGCTCCCAGTTCTCTGTGAACTGGGATTGCTCCATTGTTGGAGTTTTAAGTTCTTGTACTTTTGCTTCCTTCTGCCCAGCTCCCAGCAGTCAGCATTTGTAGCTGCAGTAGCACCCATATCAAACCCTATGGGTATGAACTCACCTCTCTTCTCTCTTTATCCCCAGGTTTGTTCCCTGTACATTTGGCAGTCGAATAGCCACATACGTAGAACTGGGCAGGGCTACAGCACAGTGGACAGGCCATGGACTCAGGCTTTTCTTGATTTTTTTTTTTTTTTTTAGGATTGGTGATTACTTTCTAAGGCCTAGTGAATGCCTGGATAATAGTCTGATTTTAAATAGTGTCACTTTTGGGTTTTTGCTTTGTTTTGTTTTTGGTCTTTTTGAGACAGGGTCTCCCTGCAGTCCCAGTTGGCCTGGAACTCACTATGTAGACCAGGTTGGCCTCAAACTCGCAGAGATCCACCTGCCTCTGCCTCCAAAGTGCTGGGATTAAAGGCATGTACCACCACGCCCAATATAGTGTCACTTATTTTTTTAAAAAAATAATTTATTGGGAATTTCATACATGCATATAAGGTGTTTTGATCAAATCCATGCCCTCTCCCTCCCCTCTAACTCCTCCCATGTCTCCCCATCACTTTTTTCTGATAACTTCATGTATTCTTTCTACTCTTTCTTCTTCTTTTTTTAAATGGGACTTTTTGCTACTCTAACATTCCCCCCTCTGAAGAGGTAACCCTAAAATCTTTTAAGGATTAGACAAAATCTCCCAAATACTTTCAACATTTTTGGCCTTTGGAACAGAGTATGTTGCTAAAAGGCCCAAGGGCATCTTGACTTTTAGCCAAGAAACTGGCTGTTTTTCTTTGGGTTCTTATTACCCTAACTGCCTAGCCAATTCCTACCTTCTATTCTTATCACTCCATCCTCTGAAGAGGTTACCCAACTTGTGGATAGGGAATCAGGGTGCAGACTGCTCTGGCTTCCATGCTGAACAGGGATTCAGGGTGAGGCAATTGGGATACCTCTTCAGTGGGTCTATCTAAAAGACTCCCAAATTGCATAACTCTTATCTGTAGGGAGAAAAGGAAGTCCTTGACTGGTGAATAGGAGATGTGAAGGAGAAATAAAGGCAAGAGTAATTAGCATTACAAGTTCTAGACAGGGAACTAGAAAAAAGTCAGAACAGGGCAAATTTCAAATGTTCATATGAGATGCCACTGGAATTTCTTGACCAGAGCTTCCAAAAGCATCCCTCTGTTGGGTTCCTCCTCATTTTTCTTTTGTCTGCCATTTTGTTGCAAAGCAAAAACGTAATATGCCTATGCTGGACTGTTCAGGCATTTTGATAGCTGTTGGAGTGGTTAGAATCAGTATCAGTTCCCCCTCAAAGGCTTCTGGATAGGGGGAGAAAACAAATTTGGCCGTCATTTTAGAACAATTGCAGGTTGTCTCCCTTAGCTACAGGTCATGATTGCCACTTCTTAAGGCAACTCCAGTCCTACCCACAATTCTTTATTTTTAAACTTCATCATCATGTGTCCTGTACTCCAAATGTTTCAGTCATTGTGGGCATATGAAGGGTTTTAGTAAGTTAGGAGTCTTCTTGAGAAAGCTTTAACCTGCTAGGGACTGTAGTAAAGTAGCTATGCATCTAAGAAGGCAGCCAAGGTTGATGTGTGTTAAAGCTGGGAAAAGTGTAGCTGGTTTACTGGCCATTTCCATATGCTGAAGGGGAATCTTCAAAGTTAGAATGAGCTGTTTTCAACTGAATAGAAGCAGATTTGGGAACCAGGTTTCTTGATGTCTCTTCCAGTTATAGTGCTTTAACTTCTTTACTGGATAGATACGACATGTTTTTCATAGTTATACAAAGTGTACCTGTAGTCATGGCACTTAGCTTTGTGTGCATTCCTGAAATTGTAAATGAGAAAGAGTGGTGTTGGAGCCTGTTAATGTGATGAGAAGTGAGGCTGTTCCACTGGCAGTCATTAAACAAAGACATGAGGGCAATGCCCCTGAACTGCCCCCAATCAACCATATTGTCTGTCTGGAAAGAAAGCATGCAGTCCCTATTGTCTGACGTCTCTCATGTTAGAGTGTGTACAGTACAAGCCACTTTCAAAATTTCATAAGGGAAAATATTTAAAAGCCTGCATTTGTGACCAAGTTGAGAAATTCTCAATATGTTTATGAGTTTAATCACATGATAAGATTTTTGCCCCTATTTTGGTCTTTAAATTTTTAAAAAATATTTTTATTGATTCTTTGAGAATTTCGTACAATATATTTTGATCATATTCAAATCTCCACCCTCACCCTTCCACCCCATCCTATCTCCCTTGACTTCATGTCTTCTATTATTTTTCTATTTTTAAATGATTTTATTTTTATTTATTATTTTTATTTTATGTGTATGAGTGTTTTGCTTACATGTACGTAAGTGTACCACTTGTGTGCAATGTCTGCAGAAGCCAGAAGAGGGTGTCAGATCCCCTGGAACTGGAGTTATGGACAGTTGTTAGCTGTCATGTAGGCGCTGGGAACCAAACCTGGGTCCTCTGTAAGAGCAGCCAGTGCTCCTGACTGTCTATATGTATGTCAATATGTGGGTATGTGCATGTGAGTGTAGGTACCCTCAGAGGCCAGTGGTGTTGGATCTCCCAGGAACTAGAGTTACAGGCAGTTGTGAGCCATCTTTCCAGCTTCTAAGCCCTATCAAATTGAATTTGTGTTCCCCAAATGATCTTGGGTGTGGGTCTATCCCCTGGATTGAGGTCAGTCTACCAGGTATCACACCCTTAAAGAAAGCTGACTCTCCCTCTCCCAGAAGTTATCAATTGTCAATAGATCCTCAGCTAGAGCTGGGGCTTCTTGCCCACCTACCTCATTCATGCTGGGTTTTTGTTTAGCACACAGGATTTATGCATGCTGTCACAAGTGCTCTGGGTTAATATGTGTAACCTTCCTGTGGTATCCAGACAACACGATTTCCTTTACATATTTATCTACCACCTCTGGCTCTTATAGTCTTTCTGCCCCCTCTTCTGCAAGTGAACCCTGAGCCCTGGGAGGAAGGGGTGTGGTAGAGGCCTTCCATTTAGGGCTGATCACTCTGTAATTTCTTATTCTCTGTACATTGACCAGTTAACTTTTACCTTTTGAAAAGAATATCTTTTATTTATTCTTTGACAATATCAAATATGTATATAATGTATCTTGATCATATCCATCCCCAGCTCTCCTTTTGTTAACTATTTAGATACACTGGTTAGACTGTAACAATGGGAAATCAGCTCTGATTGGCTCAGACATTGGGAAGCAGTTTCTTGTCACAAGTACCCACACAGAGCCTGGAGTGTGGGTACAGTTCTCAGCTCTGCTGTCCTGTCCCCTCTAGGACTTGACATTTGTCTTACCAAAAACTAGGCATTGAATGTGAAACTGCCTTCTCCCCAGTGCCTCTTCCAGCTGCCTATACCTCATGGGCTAGCCGTCCATTTCTTAGCTACTGGTCAACAGCATGGTACAAGCATCTGAGTCTGCTTGGGGTGCCCTAAGGGAACCCCACACACATTTCTCATGGCTCACAAGGATAGAAGTCCAACACCATGGTGTTAGCTGATTTAGTTCTTGGTGAGAACTCTCTTCCTGACTTAGATGGCTGCCTTCTTACCATCTTCACATGGCAGAGAAAGGAAGAGGCACAGGCTCCCTCCCTTCACTTCTTGAATAGGGACTCAGATCCCATCAAGGGCCTTACCCTTTTGACGTCATTGCAACCTTAATCAGGCCCATCATGCTGGGGTCCCAGCTTTGACATAGACATCGGGGACACTGAGACTATAGTGTCTCCCACATATGTTGTAAGATGCCAGTGTTAGTGAACATTAGTGGCTTTGGGCCCGGAATGTGCTTGCTGTTGAATAAAGGGTATGTATGTAAAAGCTTTGGGCTATACACTTGGCAGTCCCCAATGTCCACGTTAATATTTGGCACTTCTTTTCTTTCAGTGTCACGTGGGAGCCGATGGGTGATGGGAAGAAAGTAATTTCCCTGGCCGACAACCACATCTTGCTGTGGGACCTGCAGGCCAGCTCAAGCCAGGCTGTGGTGAGTAAGAGGAAGGGTGGGGGACTTGCTTTGGGTGTTTTGGGGTTTTTGTTTTGTTTTGTTTTTTTGTTTTTTTGTTCTTTTTGAGTCAGGGTCTCCCTGCCAGCTGTCCTGGAACTCACTATGTAGACCAGGCTGGCCTTGAACTCACAGAGATCCACCTGCCTCTGCCTCCCGAGTGCTGGGAGTAAAGGCATGTGCCACTACGCCTAGCGCTTTGGATGTTTTTGGAATTGGACCTTTAGCTTAGTTCAGATATGCTTTTTGGTCCACATGCTTGGAATTTTGAAACTGTGAAATAAGCAATGTGTCAACTGATGCATCAAGCAGAAAACTAAGTGACAGGTTTTTTGGGTAGAAGCTAAAAACTTGAGGTGGCATGGTGTATTAGTCACTTTTCTGTTGCTGTGATAGAAACACAGACCCAAGCAATTTTTAGAAGGAAGAGTTTATTTGAGCTTACGGTTCCAGGGGAATTACAGTCTGTCATGGCAGGGAGGCATGGTGGCTGGAG